AGCTAACGGTGCAGATCTTTTATGCTGCACAAAAATGCCTTCGAGTATTATATATATAGATTATAGACATAGATACCTATTTTAATTACCCCATTGCCTTAATTCAAATTGAATTTGATTGTTTAAACAGGTGGCAACCCTCCTACACGCAGTTAAGAAATAAAGTATTTTCAAAACTACTGTGATTGGTACCCAAATGGTAAATATTGGTTTAACTATTTAAATAATTTGAATTTAATTTTTAAACAGGTGGCAGCCCTCTTCAAACACTTTAAAAATATTCTACACGTTCAAACTAAAGATCTCTTAAGATTCATTTGCTTGACGTCCATGTTTTTTACTTCATAAAAATTAGACTTTTCGAACAGGTGGCAACCCTCTTCAAAATGTTTACAAACTGCTACGTACTTAAACTACATTGTGTGGCATCCACAAATATTTCTATTACCTAATCCCCTTAATTCAAACTGAATTTGATTTTTTAACAGGTGGCAACCCTCATAACGTTAACTTAAGAAACAAAGATTTTCAAAATTATTTCCATTTATGCCCTTTTTATAATAACTGGTTTAGCTTTTTAAATAATTTGAACTCAATTTTTTAAAAGGCGGCAACTCTTTTCGAAAAAGTTAAACCTTATTGCACACCTAAAGTCAGAGCCCTTTTATTTGACACCTCACGTTTGAAAATCGAACGAACGGTGTGAATCTTATGGCATTGATTATTAAATTATTTGAATGCAATTTTTTATCAGGTGGCAACTCTTTTCGAAAAAGTAAAACGTTATTGCACATCTACAGGCCAAGCGCTTTAATTTGACATCTCATTCTTGAAAATTGGGCGAATGGTACAGATCTTTTATGCTGCACAAATAATCCCTTCGCGTATTATATATATAGATAATTTGAATTTAACTTTTTAAACAGCTGGAAACCCTCCTCAAATGCTTTAAAAATATTCCTTATGTTTAAACTAAGATGCTAATACTTTTTTGCTTTATAACTTTTTACACAGGTGGCAACCCTCCTCAAACGCATAAAATATATTCCCAATGTGCAAACTAAGATTTCGTAACACTTTTTAGTTTTATATCGATAATTTAATTAAATTAGACTTTACGAATAGGTGGCAACCCTATTAAAAATATGTTCAATCTAAAATCTTCTTAAATCTCTTTCGTCTGACACCCATATTGTTATACCTGTTTTAATTACCGCATTGCCTTAATTCAAATTGAATTTAATTGTTTAAACAGGTGGCAACCCTCCTACATGCAGTTAGGAAATAAAGTATTTTCAAAACTACTGCGATTGGTACCCAATTAGTAAAAATTTATTTAACTATTTAAATAATTTGAACTTAATTTTTAAACAGGTGGCAGCCCTTTTCAAACTCTTTAAAAATATTCTAAACGTTCCAACTAAAGATCTCTTAAGATTCATTCGCTTGACGTCCATATTTTTTATACTTCATATAAATTAGACTTTTCAAACAGGTGGCACCCCTCATCAAGATGTTTACAAACTACTACATACTTAACCTTTACCGTCTGGCACAAATACATATTTCTATTACCTAATTCCCCTAATTCAAATTGAATTTGATGTTTTTAACAGGTGGCAACCCTCATAAAGTTAAGTTAAGAAACAAACATTTTCAAAACTATTTCCATTTATGCCCATTTTGCAATAATTGGTTAAGCTTTTAAAATAACTTGAACTTAATTTTTTAAAAGGTGGCAACTCTTTTCGAAAAAGTTAAACCTTATTACACACCTACAGCGAGAGCCATTTGATTTGGCACCTCACTTTTGAAAATCGAACGAACGGTGTGGATCTGATGACATTGATTATTAAATTATTTGAATGCAATTTTTTATCAGGTGGCAACTCCTTTCGAAAAAATAAAACCAGTTTACACATCTACAGGCCAAGCGCTTTCATTTTGCACCCCATTTTTGAAAATCGAACGAACGGTGCAGATCTTTTATGCGGAACAAAACATGCCTTCGCGTATAATTTTGAACTTAATTTCTTAACAGGTGGCAACTTTTTTCGAAAAAGTAAAATCTTTTTGAGCTGAGGGCATTGATTAGTAAATAACTTGAGTTTAATTATTTAGCAGGTGGCAACTCTTTTCGAAAAAATAAAACCTTATTGCACATCTACAGGCCAAGCGCTTTAATTTGACACCCCAATTTTGAAAATCGATCGAACGGTGCAGATGTTTTAGGCTGCACAAAAAATGCCTTCGCGTATTATATATAATAGATAGATAGATAAGCAACTGTATTCGTCTCATTCTCTGCGCTGCACACATGTGTTTTTTCAAGAAGTTTCCCTTCTATCACTAGTACGGTGCTGCACTCGCCTTTTTTCCTCATGACCCAAAACGCAGACTGTTACATTACATTTTAGCTCACATTGATACCGCTTCCAATGTTGCTTGTAAAATCTTTAACTAAATAGGAAAACAAGGTCATCTAAAAATTAGATTAGTTCAAAAGACTGTTACGTTACAAATAGCTTTCCACCGAAAACATATTGGTTATGAAGAGTATATGGAACTATTTTATTTTACTGTGAAATAAGGCCGAAAATGCTGGAAGAAAACTATATTTTCCCTTTTTTTAGTTTGGTGGATTCCGCGGCAAAAAAACCTTTTAATATTTTGGACTGTTACATTACATTAAAAAATACTACCGACTTGATTTATAGAAAGCTAATCGCAGATTTTTTTGTCGAATACTTTTTTTATTGACTTCAAAATAATACAAGGCAGGCGAAGAGAGGCAAGTATAATGCAAAAAAGTGGTGGACCTTAAATATAAACTACCATTTAGTTTCATGTTGTGCTTTTTTAATTTTCGTCTATTTAAAGGTGTCTCAAGATTAAGTGAATTTTCATGTTTGAGAGAAGGAGATTCGTGTTAATATTGTTGTTGTCCGATACCTTAGAGTATGTATGACCCAGATATAATCCCAAATCTGCGAAACCTGAGTAAAAAAATTTGTCCCGTTGGTTTCGTTTTCGGCGATTTGCGGTTGGTTTCGCTTCATGCATTTTTGCTTAGTGGCAATTTATACATAAGGAGTATTCACGATCCGGTGCATACTGTCTAGCATGGTGCATAGATAGCTAATTTTGTTGTTGTTTGAACACATGAAACAACAACAATCATGCTATTTATGCTATCTATGCACCATGCTAGACAGTATGCACCAGATCGTGAATACCCCTATAATTACTAGCGGCACATGAAGTGAACTAAACGCATTCATGCATATGTATGTACAAATATAGGTAAGAATGTATGCGTCTTCCCAGTTAGGTTAAAGGCGGGTATAGTTGCATACTGTGTACATACTTACGATTAAAATAAGAAAAAAATTTCACAATTTCGGCACATGATGCAAAAAATCTCTAAAATACACACAGTCTAGAGAGTGTCATTGAATTCCGAGGTGTTTTTTATCGCTCCGCAAACTTTCGAGTTTTACTAGGTCCAATCAATATCAAAAAATTGTTACGAATTGTTACTAGTGCTTGCAAGTTTTTACTGGAAATACATTCAATAACCCAAAATATTTGCAAGAGAGTGCGAATTCGAGAGCGTAACAACTCGAGAGAGCTGCAAATTCTTGCAAATAAAAATTTTACCAGCAGGAATTTGCAGGAGTCAAAAAGTAAGGCATTAAAAAATATTAAAATATCGTTTTAATCATGCCTTGTCTATGCGGACAAAAACCGAAAGTGCAGTGTGATAAATGCAAAGAAATTTTCCATATCAGTTGTGTTGGTATTAATCCGACTGACCTCGATTTTTTGCTCTCGACTGATAAACCTTTTTTTGCAAAGTCTGCATCGAAAAGCGTGGTGCTTCTATACGCTCGCCTCCCGCTTCCACTGCTTTGGATGAGAATATTATTGCCATATCTGCTTCGAATGCTATTTAATCCTGCAGTTCCGCAACCGCAGCCTAACTCTCAGAAAAGCCAAACATCTACGACTCAAGCTGAAAATGCATATAAGCAACAATTAACACTACAATCGTTGTTTAGCGAAATGTGTGCTCTTAGAGCTGAGAATGCGCGAGTGAATTATCTTGTTAATGCCTTGCACGAAGATAAGGCACAACAAATCAAAAAAATTGAGGAACTACATGCCGAAGTACGTTCAATGCAGTCTACCGTAAGTGAAACAGTTTTTAATTTTTAGTCTGTTCCAATAGCAGTCCGGTTTACAGGATTTAGTCAGAACTTACAGGAAGTCGTTCCTATTGACATAAAACCTGTAAGTGGGAACACATTTGAGAGAGTAACTGAGCAACTGTTCCTAGTCAGAAGTTACAAGATTTAGTCCGGAGTTTTTTTCCTGTAAGTTCATGAAAAGTGTCAAACGATCAGCTGATTTACATGTGCAATCAAAAACAGAAAGCGGTGAAAGCAAAGAACCTTATATTTGATAAAAAATGGAAGTAAACAACGAAATATTTGAATATGTATAGATTTTAATAATTATTTAGTGATATTTCAGCCAAATCAGTGTAGTACCAATGACATGTAAACAAACCGTCTGACGTTTTTACAGGAAATAGTGCTTTTTGCGTTCCTATGCACTTCTGCATCTGTTCTCCTTTTACTCTCATTTGAGAGCGTAAAATTGTAGTTTGACAGTTCCACAGGTTTTAGTCCGAAGTTCAAAGGAACAGACTAATTGTACAACTGAATGCCGAAATTAAAAATCTTTGCAGCGCTGTCAACAGTTATGTATACTAAGCTCAACATAATCAACGCTAGTGGTAGAGGTCTGAAACTATCGATGGCACTATCGATACTATCGATGGTTTTCGACTATCGGGATGCCATCGATAGTTTTCCTTACTATCGATAGTTTTAAATTTGTTTTCTTCACTATCATACTTTGTCTATTCGCTTTCATGCTCTAATTCGCTACTGATTGTCTGCACTTTTATATATGTCAAATTCAATAGACGCTATGAAATTGACTGCGCCATTTGTGTTTGCTGCAAAAAAAAGAGTAAATATGAACAAATATCTGATTGAAAAGGGAAGAAATGGTAATTATGATTATAAACTAGAAATGTTAATTACAATCCACTCAAATTTGTTTTATCATTTTTCAGAGGCAGAAGTCCAAGTTTCTGTTGAAAATAGTGCAACCGATTCCGATGAATGCGTTGCAGTCACACACTCTAGCAACGGCGGCACTAAACGCAAAAAAGGCTTTTCTAAAGTATAAACATTATATATTACTTAATGTAATAACTATTTCCTTATTATTTATTATGCTTTCAGGTATGGAAATACTTTGTTAGATCGCAGGATAAAAAATTAGCGAAATGCGTTAAATGTGGAAAGGTGTATAAAACCAGTGGGAACACAAGCAACCTGCGTGACCACTTAACTAGGTTTCATCCTAACTGCGAGGAAAACGAAGAGAATTCAGATGTTAACTTCTATACCAGTTCAAGCAGTCGCCAGTCCAGCATAAGAGCAGTTGCGTCTTATTTTAGTCGAGCTATTGAATATGAAAATGATTCAAAAAGAAAAAAGGATATCGACTACGCATTGACCAGATTAATAACATTGTGCATGACGAAGACTTCAGAAGCTTCGTTCGGGTTTCAGATCCACGCTATGTGTTGCCAAGCTCGAAAACATTGCGTGATATATTATTAAAAAAACAGTACGACCTTTCTAAGGAAAAATTGAAAGTTACCTTGGCTGATATTGAACATGTCAGCATCACTTGCGACGCTTGGACATCTGTAGCGAATGAGTGTTATCTAACCCTTACATGCCACTTTCTTGTGGATTTTGAGATCAAGTCATCCGTGTTGTCAACCAAAAAACTCGATGATTCCACCAATCATAAAGCCACAAATATAGCGAATTCCATACAAAGCGTATTGGATGATTGGGAGATTTTTCAAAAAGTTCGTTGCATTGTTACAGACAATGCCAATTCGATGATCAATGCGTGTGCTCTACTAAAAAAAAACACATCTTGGTTGCTATGCACATACATTAAATTTAGTAGTGCAAGACGGTTTGTCACAAAGCAATGAACTATCCGACTTACGAAAAAAGTGCAGACACATTGTATCCTTTTTCAAGTTCAGTACGATAGCATATGAAAAATTTAAAATCGAGCAGAAAATAAATTGCCCTTATAGCTTATTGCAAGAAGTTCCAACTAGATGGAATAGCACCGACTTTATGTTTAAGAGAATCATAGAAACAAATGATGCAATATCGCAAGTTCTATTGTCAACAGTGAAGGCTCCAGTACCACTGTCCGCCTATGAAATCAATGTTTTACGTGAGGTGGTCGATTTGCTAAAACTTTTTCAAGACGCAACTGAACCGGTGTGTTTATTTATAAATGAGCGCTTATTTTTAATTAGTTGCAATATATATTCATACCCCTAATTATAAGTGTTTTCGCAAACATTTGCATCACACTGTAAGAATAATTTTAAATATGCGCTGGCAATACTTGTAAAATGTTTACTTTTTTGTGGAAAAGTTAAAATAAGTTTGATATTATACTTATTAAATACTTATAAAAACTAATTTAATGCAAGTTTTTTTTAAAGCCACAGAAATTCATGTTGGGTATTGTTAAACCACGTCTTGTAATTTTTACAGATTTCCGGAGTTAATTACGTTACTATATCTCTAATAATCCTAATGTCCTTTGGAATATTCGAAAAACTTAATACAATGCAAGGGAGTTTAACAACATCAGAGGCTAGCGCACTTTGCTCGATTTTGCTAGCCTCCGTTCGCAAACGTTTAGCGCCTTATGAGTTGCGAACATTAACAAGAATGGGAACGATATTAGACCCTCGTTTCAAGAAAGAGGGTTTCCAGTCAACCACAAATGCCAATGAAGCTAGCAAAAATCTTGAGAAAGAAATTGCAGCGTTAATTGCAACGGATCAGAGAAACGAAAATTTTACTGAATTACAAAAAAACCGGCAGGACGAATCTTCGTTTTTTGATTTTGTGGAGAAGAGACTGGAAGGAAAAAGAGTATCGAGTCGGGCAGATGCAATTATTACACTACGACAATATTTTGAACAACGAAATGTATCAAAGGATACTGATCCACTTCTTGCTTGGAAGGTAAGCATATCTCATGCAGCAATTCAATTTCGCATTTTGTACTAGTTTTTTTTTTCACAGGTTTCAACTGATGTCCTAAATCCAGTGAAGAACGTCCTACCAAAATATTTTTGCACCCCAGCAACGTCAGTAGACTCAGAAAGAATATTTAGCAAAGCTGGCCTAATAATAACAGATCGTAGATCTATACTAAAGCCAAAGCATGTGGATATGATAATATTTTTAAATAAAAATGATTGGTTACTTGCATAATTTCAAGTTATATATTTCTGTTTTTATTTCTTTCCACTATCGAAAACTATCGATAGTTTATCGATAGTATGACAAAAACTATCGGTCACTATCGATGGTGCTCACTATCGATAGTTTCCGACCTCTAGATAGTGGTGTAAACAAACCTGTCACTAATGCATTGCGTACCAAAACTGATTCTAATGCTGCTTCTGTTATTTATACTAACACTTCTACTACTACGACCAATGCTTCTCCTACTGTTACTGCCAATGTTAGTTGTGCAAACACCAACACTATCATGTCCACTGCTGCTATTTCTGGAAATACCAACGTCCTCATGTCGGCTAGTACCTACGCTGCTGCTGCCTCTCGCGCTGTTAACAAACCTCCAGCTACGCCTGGTACAATAGTTCCTATTGCTCAGAGCGAGAGAGTAACATTGAAAAGTACGGGTTCGCTTTCTAGTAAAAATGGTAACTTCTGTCAACTTCAACATAACCTCCAAATTTTGGTTGTAAATTTTTGCTTATTTTGTATGTAAACACACTCAGCTCACACATGTAAATAACGAAAAATACTTTCAAATTCATTAGAACAAGTAATTAAATACTTTTCAACATGAATTAGCAGAGTGCACTTTTCTTTTGTTTACAATTTGGTTGCCAAACACACTACAGCTGATCGTTTGACACATTTACCAGAATTTACCAGCAAAAAATTCTCGGACTAAAACTGGTAACTTCTAACAGAGAGAGAACCGTATTTACTCTCTTTTTTGTCCTCTCAATAGTCAGAGGATCGCAACTAATGCCAATGTTAATGCGAACGCACTCTCACCGGCAAACACCTTCGATGCTGCATCCAATGAGGGGAGAAATACACAAAACGGGAAAGTGAAAATAACACGCGCTACCGTTTGTGTTGGTAAGAATGATAACTCTGAGGTCGACGTAGTCGCCAAGAAAAGATGGATCCACCTCTCTTCGTTTTAAAACACCGTTAAAGAAGATGATATTATCTCTTACGTTACAAAGCACACTGGAAGCAGTAGAACTCACTTGTCGTGCTTTACGCTAGTGAAGAAAGATGCAAATATAAATGAATTAAAACTATGTTCACATATCAATATTATCTCAATCAAAGCTCGTTTTTTAATCGCCCCGTTTACACAGGCAAATCTCAGATTATTAGCAGTCAAATTTGTTGTGCTTGTTATTCTCACATCTCAAGGAAAAGTTATGTTTCTTCTCTGTGCCACCGTGATCACGTTTTTCTGCTATAATAAGCAATATAAATATATTTTAACTTAACATTTTATTAGAAATACCTTTACAAACCTCTTTTACTTGCTAGCGTACATTTTTGTTTACTTTTACATTTGGCATTTCTCCTCTCTTTCGCAAAACAATCGATAAAACTAGGATGGACACCGAAAAGTTATCGGTTAAATCTGAGATTATTTTATAATTACAGATAAACAAGGGACGAATTTTATATGGCTAATCTCATTTTATAATTACAGATTAGGGTGTTAAGCTCGAAAATGAGGATAATCTACTTATATGTGAACCTAGTATAAGAAGCATAAACTTCAAACTTGGCGTCTCTCCTTGTTTTTATAATGATGTGTTGAACGCAAAGTTATAGACAACAAATATCAATGTTCGACCATTCCAGTTTTTTCAAAAAGAAGGGGAGAAAGACATAGCAGGCTTAGAGATAGCCCACTCTCTATTACTTCTTCTAGCTCAAAGTCATTTTCATTATACTACCAAAATTCAGGTTGTATCCGAACGAAATCCAACGAGATTAGGATTGCGACATCACTACGAGACTAGTTGTGTTTTCGTATTCTCCAGCAAAAAAATATCCAGTAACTTGCCAGTAACCAAATTTCGGAGAGTAAGCCAATATTAGCCCTGTTCGCGTACACACTATCCAGTAAATCCAGTACTAATTTTAATGGTTTTTTACTGGATGTCGTTTTCGTACGCAAAAACTTGCAGGAAACTAGCAAAAGAGGGGAAATTGAGAAAGCAAAAATGACAACTAAACTTGCAAGTTTTACTGGATTTTTACTGGACAAATTTTTACCAGCAACTATTTTCTAGTAAAAAAAACAGCAGATGGCATGATGCTTAATGTAATTCACATTAACAAAATAATTGTTTGTGGTGCTTTTCTCTAAAAGCAACTCTCTCTTGCAACTCTTTGCAATTGACAAAATAAACCTTTTAAATATATAATAAGATGGAAAATACTAGTTTTCTAAGAACATTGCATCGGAAAATAACAAATTAATCAGCTCTTCATAAAACTAGCAGCTTCTTGCTGGTTTTGCGTTTTCGTACTTTCTGCATATTTCACTCATTCATCCAACTCCAACATTGAAGTCAATGCTACATCGGGTATTCCTCAAGGAACTCACATAGGCCCTTTATTATTTTTACTTTTTATTAACGATCTACCGTCGCATATCATATCGTCGAAATGCTTAATGTTTGCAGACGATGTTAAAATATTCCTCAATATCAACTGCCTGCTGGATTGTAAAAAACTTTAGTATGATTTAAAAGCATTTTTGAATTGGTGTACCATCAATAATCTAAGTCTCAACATCAGTAAGTGTTGCATTGTCTCATATACCCGTCGCGCATCTGTCAGGATTTTCAGCTATTCCCTAAATGGTGTTGATTTATTGCGTAAATCCGAAATTAAGGATTTGGGAATTATTTTTGACACGAAACTTACTTTTTAAAAACACATTGATTTAGTCTCGTCTAAAGCCTACACGATGGTGGGATTCATAATGAGGAACACTAAAAATTTTAAGGACCCTATGACTCTTAAAGCACTTTATATCGCTCTGGTTCGGAATATTTAGAATATGGGGCGCTAATATGGAACCCATACTATGCAAAGCACTCTGACAGAATAAAGAAAATTCAAAGGAAATTTACCAGATTGGCTGTGAAAAAATTTTTCAACGGCCACGATATTCCAGAATACACCTCGAGGAGGAAACTCCTTGGCCTCCAATCTTTAGCTGACAGGAGGTCGTATTTGTCGCTGATATTTGCACACAATATTCTATCTGGAAGCGTTGTCTGCTCAGAGATATCTAATCTTTTTCAAATTCAGGAATCTAATATTAATCTCAGAAATCCTAAAATGTTCGTTGAAGGTTCGCATAAGTCGCTATACTCGTACAACGAACCGATAGCGAGAATTATTCGCCATTGTAACAAACACTCTGCGCTAATAAATTTCAACGATAGCCTTTATTGATTTAAATTAAGTTTATTGAAACTGTTTAACTACTCTAAATTTAATCAATGTCTGTAAGAAATTCTGTTTCAAAGACTGAAATGAATAAATAAATAAATAAATTTGGGGTTTCCAAGATATGTACGAAGTGAAAAGAAACCAGAAAAAATAAAAAAAGGTTTCTACAAGAATCAGAAAGCGACATACATAGCCTACAAATTATGTATTGCGTGCAGGGAAGTCAGCTTGAGGGAAACTCCCCGGATTTGCAGGGAATTTCGGTTTAGGTGACAATCGGGGATTGGACAGT